GTTGAAACCATAAAATTGAGCGCAGATTATTTAGATTTTAGGATTTAAAAAACCCATACGCTAAATAAAACCAAACAACCAACATGAAAGATCTCTTTCATGGCATTAATCCATATAATATCCGACAATTTCTTAAATCAAACTATATTCAAAAAATATAACTTCAAAACCTACAACAGCAAACACAGATATCACTGCCTCTTGTAATTATGTCCACACAAACCTGTATTATGCATAAAAGCTGAGTATCGTCTACCATGTCTTCACTTGTGAAAGCAGAATAACATATATCATATTTTTATTACTTCAAAGCTCCCAAGAAAATTAAATTTCAGCATTAAATGACCCATAAGAAGTTGTTATGCCGTTAAACCAACAAATCAATCAGTGACCACTTCGTGGCTTTATCGTTTGCATAGTGTTTAAATTATTAAAAAAAATTCTGTTGTTCACCAAATACAAGGCCCAAGAACAACTCAAGTAGAGGATTACTTGTCAGGCGGTAAAAGGAGGAGTAAGAGTTACATATTATGAGGATATGCAGGATAGAAAAAGTTAACACTAGACTTGAATATGTTAAGATTATTTTTTTAATCAGTTCACCCAAACAAGGTGATGATGTCACTAAGACGCAAGGGGCTACTGGGAGTGAAAGAGAATGAGATCCCTTTCGACAGAACCGAAAACCGAATCCTATACAGGAAACAAGAGATAAACATCTATTCCTGTTTGAAAGATCGGAGAGGGGTGGGAACCGAGTGATCGGGAAAGCATCCTTTCGGAAGTCTGTTCCAAAACGAAACATCTTTGGGTGGAAATTCTTCCTTACGAATGGAATACGAAAGGAATGGGGACGAGCCGATTCTGTTTACGTGGCATATCTGTGAGAGTTTGAATTTGTGGAACTGCTAAGGAACGTAGCAGGCATGAACATTTGCCATTACGATTATTATTGTGATGTTATTTCACGGAAGATTAAGTGACCTATAGCTTTCGAAATACACCAGCATTATCCTTAGTATTTTTAGTCAAATTGATTTAAGAAATCCTTCTGGATAGTGTGGATTAGGCACCTCGGCGTGGTATGATAGCTAGAAAGCTTGTCTCCCAAGAACAATTACGACTGAGTAGTGAGTTCGATCCTTACTAGATGCCCTATACTTTCGGCCTTGTACCGCATTTAAGCTACGCTTAAAGAATCACCTTCTGGGATAGCGTGGATTATTAACGGGATTTCTAGTTCTCCCGATATCTTAGCAATGTCCAAGTCGGATTTCTTTGTATTATATTCAATGCATTTTTATGCAGTTGTAATGCCCCTATGTGGAGATACGGTATAGTAATATATATATCAGCTCGGATTACGGAATCGGAAACTGGGTTCGAATTCCACTCTAGTCCGTTTCATTCATTTACGTGCAAATAACCTTTGTAAAGGCATGAATCCATCTCTTCTCCTTCTCAGGTACGGGGTGAATAGCAAAACAAACTGAGTCCTATAGCTTTGCGCGGCAATCAGTCTAGAACATCAACTGAATTCAAAACCTCCAATCTCGATCCACTGCTGACGTCCTAACTCACACAGAATTAGTGAGGCTCTTGAGGACACACATACCACAAGAACCAAAGCACTAGATACCTCGAAGGCCTTCGACCAGGTGTAGCACAAAGGTTTGCTACAGAAGCTCTCCAGCTATGGAATCACTGGAAGGTTTTTTTTTTTCTGTTATAAAATCCTTCCTAACAGGTAGATCCCTGCAGGGAGTTATTAATGGCCTGTCCTCCCAGGCCATGGCGGTCAACGCAGGCGTCCCCCAGGGGTCAATTCCCGGATCAAACGTCTTTCTGATTTACATAATTGATCTACCTAAGAATATATGTTGATCATTTGTAAACGTCTATGCCGATGATACGACGATATACGGGTGCACCTCTAAAAATCTTGATGATCAAAAATTGGCAGCTGACATTTCTTCCGATCTAAAACTAACTTTTCAGTGGGGGAGGGGACTGTACCACCAGTCACGATAACCTGATATCCCCTCGAAGAGACACTGTCTTGAGAGGGTGTTGGGACTCAAAAAACATTCGACCTGAAGTGAAATTCCTATATACGATCCATCGCTTAAGATGCAGATAAATGATCGGCACCCTGTACAGCTTCAGGCTTATGCTCATCCTCCACTTTTATAAGAGCCATATCAGGCCGAAAATGGAGTACTGTTGATCTATTTGGGCAAGAGCTGTTCAGCTGTTCCAGTCTTGATAGAGTTCAAAAGCGTTCCGAGTCCTTGTGGGAGAAGCATTATTTTCTACACTCCAATCTCTCTCTCTCTCTCTCTCTCTCTCTCTCTCTCTCACACACACACACACACACACACACAGGCGGGTTGTGGCGAGTCTCTCACTGCTCTATCGCTACTACCATGGAAAATAGCTCGAACGAACTGCATCTCTTGGTTCCACCAAGGTCTAACCTTCACGGCTAAGACCCGCCATGACACTTACATTGTAGCAAACCACCTACATTCCCTCCGTATCCCATCGGCGCCCAAACAGCTTCTTCCCATGAAACACTGCCCTATGGAATAGTCTCTCAATGTTTTCCTCGATCACTACAGTCTTAACCTGTTCAAGTTAACCGTTATCTCCCCCTCATATCCATATAAACTACCCGCTAACGTAACCCTCTACTTTGAGAATACCCCGGGATTATGTACATGGTGAACCTTACTTTATAAAAAAAAAAAATAATCATGTACTCTCAATAGCAATTTGGGTTATTATAATAATGCTCTCAATCGGGCCTAGGTTTATTATTCAGATCAAATATTATTTATTAATATACTGAGATCAAATATTGCTTATCATTATGCTCAGATCAAATATTGATTGTTATTCAATTATTATGATCCAAGCTTTTGACTTTCTCAGTTCAGCATCAGATTTGGCAGAATGAAAAGGTGAAATTTCTAGAACTACTGACTGTTGTGACGTGGTCCAAGTAGCGTTGTGACATAGGCAAGGTGTGACGTGTGTGTGTGTGTGTGTGTGTGTGTGTGTGTGTGTGTGTGTGTGTGTGTGTGTGTGGATGCGAGCTCTTAAACGTTTCACTTAAGAAAGTCGAAATGAACTTCGGACAATTTGTGACGAAATTTTCCCTTATCTAAGAAAGATGATTCGTTTGGAAAAGTCGATCAGTAAAAGTAAAGGACACAAAATATCTGTTGTCATTAATAATATTTGACTTAAACAACATTTGTTGTCTAAACACACTAATATATATATATATATATATATATATATATATATATATAGTATTTATTCAAAATTATAACATAAATATATCATCACTACAAAATAACCATTTTGTTTCAACGTTTCTGGTGTCTTAGTAAGTGATGATTTGGACTGCGAAATAAAGATTTTTTTTAATTCAAAACCAAATCAAACTCCCTCAATGCATAACCCATGGACTCTGAATTTATTAGGGTTATCTTGGGAGGAATGTGTGTATGTATGTCGGTATATTTGTTTTCTACATCTGTCTATATCATTTATTTCTCACGGTCTCCCTTTTATTATATATATATATATATATATATACTAGCAGTAGAGCCCGGCGTTGCCCAGGGATGTAACAGTAAGAGATAGATCAAGTATCGACCATCATAAAGTCTGAAAAATAAAATTGGCAAAAATTATTGTTTAAGGTTGACGGACACGCATGTCTTAATTAGTTTTTTTTTTTTTTTTTTTTAAGAATTGGTCAAACCCAAACTGAAAGAAAAACATTGTTTTCAATCGTTATGAGTCTACCGATTGAATAGAATTTTATTATAAACAATTGTCTTGTAAATGGAATTTTTAAAGCATTCTGAATGTAAAATAAAGAAAAAAGTGTGTAAGACAATAAGAAACACTACCTGCCAAAAAAAAAAAAGTTTTGTTGAAATCGGTTGAAAAATGTAGGAAATCCGATCCAATATATAAACGAACATACACACACAACCTGGGTTTTATAATAAGTATGATATATATATATATATATATATATAACTCAGTGGTGTCTGTGTGTGTGTGTGTGTGTGTGTGTGTGTGTGTGTGTGTGTGTGTGTGTGTGTGTGTGTGTGTGTGTGTGTGAACAAGTGACATTTTTGTTTTCTGATTTTTAGTTTCGCGGATATTGATTGTCAATGAGTTTGCTGGTAAAAAATTTCCTAACATCACAAGATTATATATATATATATATATATATATATATATATATATATATATATATATATATATATATAATTACATAAATATCATTTATATTCTATTTTCAACAATTTAACAAAACGAAATTTCCCCCTGCAATGAACGGTCGGGAAAGAAAAGCGATCGCTACAGAAAACTATTTGACTTTTAACGTATTCTCTTTTTAAAACACACACACAGGCACACACACAGAGTCACACACACACACACACATACATACATACAAATACATACACAAATTAATTAATAAGAAAATAAAAAGGACTCTTAGATACGTCGTTGCAGTAGAGTAAATAGTTTTGGTTGGGCTGAATCATGGAGATTTATTTTCATGTTTGCGTAAAAGCTAAAAATAAAAAGATTTGTTCCTCTAGTGTAGGATGACTAAAATTGCACGATTGGCAATATAGTTGTAAACAATACACCAACAAATATTAGGTTGATGCAAATCTTTTAAGCATTTTATTACCCATTTTTTCCCGATAAATTCCTACCTTCATTATTCAATCATCAATATATTTTCCTTGCTTTTCTCAAATTTTGGGCCATTGTTCAGATAAATAGCGTTTTATAATCTATGGAGACTGTGGATTCTTCGAGTATTTCTTTTTTATGTATATTTATGTTAAACTTGCTAATTCTACCAACCAGACACGAAGAAGAAAAAAAAGTTCTAGTGCAAAAGTGATAGGATTTTAAAATAAGCTTTACGTAGAAAAAATTACTATCCAGCTTCCATAATGGTCTTTTGCATCACATCTACAAAATTCTTATTTTCTATCTATTGTTGGTTATTTGGTCTCCTCATCTATCTATCTATCTATCTATCTATCTATCTATCTATCTATCTATCTATCTATCTATCTAATTCTGTTGTTATCTATCTCAGTTTGTTCATTATATATTTATTAATCTCAGTTTGTTCATTAGCTATCTAAATATTGATCTATCTTTTGTTTCGTTCATATCTATCAATTATTTTGTTCATATCTATCTATCTATCTATCTATCTATCTATCTATCTATCTCATTTTATTCATTATCTATCTCAGCTTGTTATATATCTACCAGTCTAAATATTGCTCAATCTATTATTTTGTTCATATCTATCAATCTTTCTATTTCCCTATCTATCTATCTATCTATCTATCTATCTATCTATCTATCTATCTATCTATTATTACATTGTTCATATCTATCTATCTATCTATCAATTTATTTGTTTTTTTCTCTGTCTCTCTCTCAATCTATCTCAGTTTGTTCATTTTCTATCTATCTATCTATCTATCTATCTATCTATCTATCTATCTATATATATATATATATATATATATATATATATATATATTAAAACTCAAATATGGACTTGAATCCGCCAGAATGATAAGATAAAAGACAAATCGGAAACTTCTATCAACATGTTTGACTTGTTTTAAAGTTCGATCTGGAGAAAAAGAAGAAAGAAATTTTTCTTCAACAAGTCGAATGTACGTGAAACATTATTAACCAATGGAAATCAAACAACACAAAAATAAAAATAACAGAATTTCTTTCTTTTTTTTCCATATTTCATTCTCTGATGAAGCTTGAATAAATGTGAAACATGTTATATTGATAACCGTTTCTTTTTCTTATCTATCTATCTATCTATCTATCTATCTATCTATCTATCTATCTATGTTCATATTTATCCTTCTTATGAGTTAAAATCCTTTTACTGAATGTTCTTGCAAATCAAGCAGATAAAATGGCGTCTGGGAAATGGTGGACACCATTGCGATCTCGCGGGAATGTTTCCATCGGTCTTTATTACATAATTAGAGGAAGTTCCCGGATGAATTGGATGTCAATTGATAAAGTTAGTCGTTAACAGGAGTAGGAAAGGCAAAAGCGAGTTGGAATAAAAGAGTATGAAGCCGATAAAAGTGGTTTGGGTGATAAAAGAGAAAACACAATGATTATGCCACAAAACGATAAACACGCATGCACACACATTATAGCTACATTCTTTATATCTATACATACATATATAGATTTTTTCCTAATACGTATATATAATCATGTAAATATGCAAATATTTAGATAAAGTTTTTTAAACGAAACTATTTGCTTATTTTATGTGAAATACTTTAGCGCGGTATCTTTTAATGTTCAGTCCAATTGATCAAGATTTGTTATATGCTATCGAACTGCTATTGTCTTTTATTAAACAGATAATATCCTGTATTTTTCTTATAATTACTTAACTCTCTATATTCGATATTACACACTGATTTAAAAAAATCCAATTCACTCTAAGCAAGGCAGTAAAGCCACTAAGATACACGAGGCGACTGGGTGTGGGTGTATTAGGAAACAAAAAAATTACTAAGGAACGAGAACAATAGAAGAGTAATCAGGAAGAAAGTAGATATCGATTGACATTGCATTTAAATTTTTGAAGATTGAAGTTGACTGATTATTTTGTAACTATTCGCAGTTTTTGACTCAGCACCATCAACAATAACAGCAACATTACCACCACAAACAATAGCATTTCCAACGATTACATCACTACCAACACTAACACTGGTAACAACAACTACACTAAAAGCATCAACAACAAAAATAACACTAACAGCAACTAGACGAACAATAAACGTTTCGCTAACAACACTACCAACAACAAATTCTTCACTTACAAACAAAAATTGCACTACCAGAAATAATATTTCCAACAACAACAACTACTGCACCAGAAACAACAACACCAAGCACAATACCAA